TAATGGCCTAGGGTAGCCTCCCCTACGACCACCTAACGCACGACACGTGGCGGCAACCTGACAGTCGCGTCCCCTCACCTGCTTTCACCCCGCTCTGCCGGCGATGGGAGACCCCCGCGCAAGTTCCCGTTCCACCGCGCACGAACCCGACGAACCTCCCGTTTCGCCACCTCTCTCCCCGACACAGCGACCTTAAGTCCTCGCTCTTTCCCCCAGAGCTTCGACTTGGGGGGCTCCTGTTCTGGTCTGGGCCCAACCTCGGTCCAGCCTAATACCACACATGGCCAAGTGAACTAGCCCGACCGGGCACACGCGCCCCATAGGACGGGCAGGGCACACTCCCCCGGGGATGGACGACGCGTCCGACGACGTCTCAACATCCTCTCTTGTCGGCCGAACATGGCACACCCCGGTCCATCGAGCAAGACCACATGGCTCTTCCGCGTCCTTGCATGCTCCCCTCCGCGGGGAGAACAACGCCCTCCGGGGAACCTCGCGAGCTCCCCTCTGCGGGGAGGACTACGTGCCCGGCGCACGTTCTCCACGTGCTCCCCTCCGCGGGGACACGTCATCAACCAACTGCCCACCTCCGAAAGAGCAGGTCAAACCCACTTTCCGGAGATCAAGGGGCAGTTGGACTAGGGCGAAGACCACGTCCTGGTCTTCACTACGCCACGTAAGCCTTAACAGTCATTAGGTTTGGGTCTGGTCATCCAGCCCACCTCAGATGACCGTTGGCCCCGCGCTGGGGTCTCTCTATAAATACCCTCTTCCTCAAGAGGGTCAGGTAACACACTTCTTACCCTTTTTTCTGTACTTCGCCATCGCTCTGCCCAACTCCTCATTTTGGGATCGGAGTGTTTTACAGGTACACCCCCTTTTTCTCCTCATCACCGGTGAGCAAGCAGCAGCCCAACAGCGTGTGACCAGCCCATGATCCCCTTCTGATCAGGTCAGATCATAAAGCTATTTTGAGATTAGAGTAAAAAAAATCACAAATTATATTTTATGTCATATTATATTTTTAATTGATACAAATCACTCATAATCGCCACAAAAATGATTATCAAAATATATGTTCAAAACTATAAGATGCAAGAAAAGAGTATATATCAAGAAAAAGATGAATTTAATAAAAATAGAAATATTCACCACTAATATCAAATGATCCATTCAAGTTGTTGTAACCTAAATCAAGGATTTCGAGAGACCTCAATTTTGATATATCTAGCAATATATAAACATACATGATTAGAGTTGCATATCTTTTTTCAAACAAAATCGAAAAGAAAAAATAAAAATTAATAACGTAAAGTATGACATACTATGAATTTATTTTCGGAGTAATTTGACTCTCTTATAAATTTAAACTCTTGAGGAAAGAAAGTTCACTTAATGTCATTGAAGTTGTTGTTAGAGATGTCAAGGATGTCAAGATTCTGCAATATGGCGTATAATCCTACACATTAAATTCATATTTTATGAAGCAATCTCAATTAAGAACCACTATTTAGATATCATAATAAAATAGAAAGTGTTACCTTATGTGTTAATATCCGAGACCAGTCCAATGCCATTCAAATAGAGTTCCTTTAAAGATCCATCTTCATTGTGTGAGTGAAATGTGAGTTTGGTGACTCTTTTAATGGTGGTGTTGCATACAACTCATTTCCATTGACAACAATAAATTTTATGACAATTTTGATGTAAATTGTGAGGGCAAGGTTTCTTATTGCTTTGTTTTAATGATGTTAAAACTAGGAAAATTTAGTACTTGTGTGCTTTGGATGGTATCACATTGCCTTAACTTGCATTCATCTTTTTAATATGCGCATAATGATCTACATACATGAATCTAGGCATATAGGATCATCCCCTATTGTGTAAAATATGTTTTTCATCATTCTTGATGCTTTAGGTCAATCCATACAGGGCTTAGGTCGACTCAAGTATTGATAAAAATGTGTTTGTGGCATTCTGGCACACTTACGTCGACTCATAGGTACTGTAAAGGTCGACGCATACTGAATGATACAATCTTAGAGCTCTCAGGTGAACATGCATCGACGCATGGACAAGGTTCAAGTCGACGCACAGTTGAATTTGGTGTGCAGGTTTGCTTTCTAGTATGTCTAGGTCGACACAAGATTGTGGAGGTCGATCTCTCGCGTATTGGAGCCTATTTTTCTGCATCTTTGTGATCCAAAAAAGCGGTTAATTATGCATCATTTTTTGTACAACAACCAACAACAAAAGTAAAAATATACATTGAATTGCTCATCATCTTCATTCTCACATTTGCATTCTTCAACAATCACACATAATCATCTTTGTTGATCATTGCTTTGTCGAGGTGATAACGTTCAAACTTAGGAATGACATATCTAGTTTGGCTTGAGAATTCAATGGGTTTTTCTTGAATAAAACCTTTAGGGTTTTGTCCTCTAAGATCTTGAGAATTTAAAGGTTTTTGCACCGATCTTTGCTGCACAAATTAAGCCGAGTGAAAGACTTGAGGAACGGTGGGTTTGGTCAAGCAAGTAATAGTAATCAGGTGATTATGTTGAAAGATTTGGGGTCGAATGTCTTGCGATCAGAATCAGCCGAGTGAAAGACTTAAAGAATTAAGTGAGTAGCGGTAACTGGAGGTTTGATCGAAGAGTTTGATGTTCTTGATTCGGCTGTAATCAAGGGGAGAGAAGTGGATAGAATCAACATCAACAATTAGGTTCGAGTGTGCGGTAGCTATGACTTCTCTTGTACAAAACTTTGCAACTAGGTATTATAAATATCTCAATTCTAGTTTTAGAATTGGAGGCAGACGTACCCGAAACGAGGACGAAAGGAGAATTTCCTAAACAAATCGGGTATCATTCTCTCTCTCTCTCTCTTTACTTTCTGTTGTTAAAGTATGTGTGAAATCAACTGTTTGAGAATTTTCTATTGTTTTGTAGTGCTGAAAAACTGTTTTGGAAATTCATTTCAATCACTTTGATTGCAATTGTGAAACATTATGCACTATCATTTCATAGGAAATTGAACTTGGGGTGTTGTGCACACCAAATATTTGACATATTGATCGCACACAAACTGTTATTAAAATTGTCAATTTAATTTTCACTACAAGAAAAAAGGAGATTTACGACACATGAGTTGCGACAGTTCCTACGAAACTGTCCTTATTCCTGGACTGCGGCAGTTGTCACGACAGTTAGAGCTAACTGTTGCAGATTTTCTAAACATGTTAAGTAACATAATTGCGACAGTTATCAAAGAACCGGCCTCTTTTGACAATCGCGACAGTAAAAACTAACTGTCACAATTATTTTAACCAATCATAATTGATATTTTTTTTATTCTTTTATTTTCTTATTTTTTCATTAATTATTTTATTTTCACTCCTTTTCACTTTTATTCAGTAATTATTATAATAATAGTAACAATAATTACACTTTTTCTTGATTATTTTATTTTCACAGCTTTTCACTTTTATTCACTGATTAATTTTTAGAAAATAATAAAATTTCCTCCCATTACACGAAGGTTCAAAACAAAGTTTTGAAAAAATTTCGCGACGGTGGTACTGTACGAATTTCAACCGCCGTTAACCCTTAGCTACAACATGAATTTCAACCGTCGTCCTTCAATTTTGTCTCCCAACTTTTTAAGCGCGCCGAATAATTGGAGAAATATATGATTTTGGTTTGCTTCTATGAACTTCTTTGCTTCTCGGCGTGAAGACGAAAACTGTTTGCTTCTCTAAACTTCTTAGATTCTCGATGTGAAGAGGAAAAAGGTTAGTCTATCATATAAGCTTACCTAAGTTACTTATTTGCTTCTGAATCAAAGCTTGTCAAAATGTAGGGTTTTGTGATTTTTTTCTTTCTATTGTTAGCATTATTGTCGATTGTTTGTTATATTTTTGTGTTGATTTTGAAGTGGATGATGCTAGGTTTTAAGGAGTGAGTTTTTAGGCATTGGGTTGTAATTTTCCCTTGTTAGGGTTTTTGTTGTTAGAAGAAGTGTTTCTAGTTGTTATTACTGTAGTTTGGGGTTTGATGATTGGTTTTGATTTTGAGGAATTGTTAGAAACGTGAAATGATATTGAATTATGAAGATTCAGATTGTGAAAATGTGAGTGTTGATGTTGTTTGTAATAGAAAAGCTATGAAGATGAACTTTGTTAAATGAACTTTGTGAAAATTTGAGTGTTGATAATAGAAAAGCTATGAAGATGAACTATTATGCACATGTTATTTTTCATGTGATCCTGTATCAGTTGATTCTTTTGTGGTTTTCTTAATATAGTAAAATACTCTTAACTTTTTTTTATGCACATGTTATTTTTCATGTGATCCTGTATCTTATTGTTTATTTATTTCACTTTGGTTTCTGCCCGGAGTTGTTGTTCGGGTGCGTAGTGATATCGGAATGAGATTCTCATATATCTCTATCTAGTCTCGGGGCAGCATCTTCGAAGCAAAGCCAGCAGTTTAGATTGGGTCTGGCGGGGAGGTTGGGTTGTATTTTTGTGCATTATTGTTAGTATTTTTTTCTATTTCCTTTTAGTATCAGGTGCAGGGGTTTTTGATACTGGTTAATCGGGTAGGCTGCTTTAGCAGTTTATATTTGTTTCTGCAGATCTCTGTTATAGGGAATTTTTGGTGATATGTTTTCCTTTGGCATTGCTTATGCCTTTTGTTGGTTAATATAATTTCTTTGCTGCTTAAAAAAAAAACTATAATTGGTTGGTAGTACATAAGAACTTTATCAATATTGAAATTCAAATCATTATTTATAATTACTAAACTTAATTTATTTCCGACAGTATGACCCTGAAATAAATCCTGAAAATGTGCGATATCATGGCCCACCTCAAGTAATGCTTGCATACTTGAAGTTCCAGTGGTCACTTGGTGAGGATTCAAAGCGCACTTGAAGTTCCAGCGGTCACTTGGTGAGGATTCAAAGCGCAGAGAAGCATAGGCTACAGGTATCATATGTTTTCCTCTGCGGTCTTCACTAGTGGTTTAAATCCAAGTGTTTCTCTCCTTGCTCGTGTTTATCTGAATCTTGGCTCCTGGCAGTGGACACTTTCTCTTGGACTGGCTGACGAATCCATAAAAGGTTTTTAGTGTTTATAATTTGGATCTTTAACATAAAATAATATTTGATCAATTTTTAATTTTGTTTCAATATTTGTAGATATACTCGATGCATTCTCAAAAGCTACTCAATATGCAAATAAATGGACCAAAGCTTGGCATAAATGGGCATTGTTCAATACAGCAGTGATGTCTCATTATACTTTAAGAGGTTTCCCAAACATTGCAGCACAGTTTGTTGTTGCTGCTGTCACCGGATACTTTCGTTCTATAGCATGTGCAGCAAATTCGAAAGTTGTTGACGGGAGTTTATAGTAAGTAATTTGATACGTTTTTGCTGCAGAATATAATGCTTATTATTCAATATAAGTAACAACTGTTTGGACTCAAATGTAGAGATAGTACAGTAAGGACACCCGGCATTGGAGTTAGCTTAACTAAAAAGTAATGACACTCATATATTGACTTGTTTTGGAAACTGAATGGGAGTGTATTTCTGTAGTGTACATGACTCACCATGCAAACTAGATAACTTGGAGAGGTTTGACATTGATTTCTAAAGTTTTGGAATACCATGAACCAATTAAGTATGTATGGCATGAGGAGAATCCTAGTTGAACAAACACAGGATGAAGCAGATAGATAGTAAAGGCTATGGGACTCCATCCAGCCCCTATCGACTGTCCCAAACTCTGGTCCTTTCAAACACCAATTTCTTTTGTAAATTAAAGAGATACCCAGGAACATAAAGGACAAAATCAACTAATACGGAAAGGGACAGGAAAGGAATGGGTTGTTCCAATCCCTTGAGACTAGGTCTAGGAATCATAGCTATAGGTAAATAAAAAAATGTAGAGATGAGAAATTAGTCTTATTACCAGATATGACTTGGCAACGGTATCAAGAACCTTGTGTCAGAATGTTGAATATTACCCATGATTCTCGTGGAATCTATGAGAGTAAATCTGAATTTTTTTGGATTGATTATGGTTACACTTGATTACATCCATTTATAGATCTATTTGATGACCTGTTATAGCAGTTAATGCCTAGGATTGACTGACATGTGTGTATGTCAGTTTGTTATGGCTGTTGCAGCTATTTTTAACCGTGCGAAACAGCTAGTTACAATCAGTTACATGGCTATGTTAATATACAATGCACCTACTGTTAGCTCTCATGAGCTTACTAGATAACTATAAACTGATTCTTTCTTGCCATGGGACCAAGGCATGGTAACTGATATATCGAATAAAATAGTTTACTAGGGTTTATAACCAAACCGGTGTAGCTGGAATCTGAATAAGGGGTGCAAACCTTGTTAGGACAATAGTAGACCTTAGGTTCTGATTACAGGCAAGAGTAATTCTGAAGCAAACCAAAAAAGGGCAAGTAGGATAAATTGGGTATTCAGCTGCTTACATTCTTAATTTAATTTCATCTGTCCCTTGTAACAGGAGCTAACAGCTTATTAATATTATAGAGTGCAACATGATTCTTGCTTAAAATGCGCAAAAATATGACTATCAAACTCTTTGGGACAATGTAAAACTCTACGGTATTGCTAGTATATATGTTGACAGCAGACACATAATCAACCTTAGCTATTAAGCCGTCCTTATACACTTCCCCATTAAGCCTTCTAAAAGTTGTAATCATTTAATGCTCTAGATATTTCTGAAAGTTATACTGAATTGGAGTTGCTACATTCATTGATTCCTTCATTAGTTTTTTCGCATTGCAGTAAATTTTGATTCGGTTCTTTCGATTATTGTGTGCACTGTAGTAAGTTTTGAATGACATCGTCATTACGAAACTTGCTAATATCATCATTTTGTGTTTTTGTTTATAGTGAAGAGAAGGTAGCTCCGATTATGTTCTTCAATCGGTATCCAGCTCTCAGTATCCACCTCTCTGTGGAATCAATTCTTCTCTAAGCTGCTCCTTCAAAGGTTTTTTTTCCTGAAATTGTTTATGAGCATTAAAGAACATTAATCCAAGATATGTATTATTATTATTATTACCTCAATATGATGATGGCTTTATTGAGATGCACTGTTTTTATTTTAGTAGCTGTGAGGGTATAAAAACTGATGCATATAGAACACTATAATGTAGAATGTTATTATAAAAGCATTTAATTCAAACAATTAAATATATAGAAATTGGTTAATGCAGAGTTTGGATGGGGTCAAATGAAACAGCATGTGACTATAGAAATTAAACATTCTTCTCCATTTGTATATGATTTTTTAAGTCAATTCTATCATCCTAGTTATTTTAGATTCGCGTGTCCATTACCTTTAAGAAGATTTGCATCTTTTGTCATGGGAAGTTATGGTTTCCCTTTGTGGAACCACTGTGTCAGGTCAAACTTGTTCCTTTAGCATTGCAGTGCTTGTTCCAGACCAACAACTACACCTGGTTACTGTTGTAATAAAATAAATTATGGCCCATGTGTGTTTAGATTTATAAAGCCATCTTCATAAATTTCTTTAGCATACTTTCCTTTCTAAATTATCTTTTTAATTTTATGTCTCTTTATCTATATTAACAAACAACTTTTGAACGGTTCTCTCTTTCTCACTATTTAGGTTTTATTCACACCAATGAAAAGAGAAAATTGGTTGAAGAGAAATTGGATCCTCTTTTCTTGTTCTTAATAAGTCTGAAAAAAAGGAGGTATGATAACAATATTTTGACATTTTTTCTTAATTGCTTGAAAACTATGATGTTTCTAGGTAGTTAGCTTTTTAACTTCAAACGAAAAGTAAGTCAATTGAATTTATTATATATTGTGTTGAGGTTAAGACTTGTCCTAAATAGTTAAGGGAACAAAATAATTGAGTATTAGTGTTGAGAGCTAGTGTAGACATATATAAGGATATTAATAAATTAATACTGAATTTTAGTGCAGACATATAAAAGAATATGAATAAAATTATATTGAATTTCATCCAAATCTGGGTACCAATTCCTATATATATAAGGCCCAAAGGTTCATTTATTTTCTCATGTTATAACCTAACCATTCATATTTTCATGTTCTCTTTTTTTTTTTAATAGTTTACATGTAGTTAGGCGTGTTATATTAATGCAGGGTGCTCTAAGGAATGCAATATGATAGGGACTCCAAAGGTATTTATTTTTGTCCTAAACGTCTTGATGCCACCCATTTTCCAGGTTGAGGTTGGATAATATAGAAGTTAGGAAGGATAGATCTGACAGAGTTTTTCTATTATGAGGTTCAAGTGTTTTTCTATTATGAGGTTCAAGTGGTTCAAGTGGTAGTAGACAATGGTCAAGATTCAAGTATACATTTTTGTTTTATACACTAAGTAGTATTTATTTTACAATGCAAGTTATTGAGGTGAATGGTGATGATGTAACTTGTCTCTTCAAAATATTATCACAGTAAATTTGAACGGGTTGTTGACCTTATTGTGGATATTGATAGTTTTTTTGTTTAATAAAATTACAAATTTTTATGGTATTTTGTATTGATTGAATGGTGATGTGAGGTGAATGGTGATGATGTAACTTGTCTCTTCAAAATTTTATCACAATAAATTTGAACGGGTTGTTGACCTTATTGTGAATATTGATAGTTTTTTTGTTAAATAAAATTATAAATTTTTATGGTATTTTGTATTGATTGAATTGAATATTATAATAGTATTGGTATTATACTAACATGAAGAGAGGAGAGGAAATAATGTAGCAAATAAAAAAATAATAATAAAATTACGGCGGTTCTAAACTGTCACCATTTTATTTGAAATATATAATATATAATTATGGCGGTTACAACCGTCGTTATTTTCAATGAAATATATATTATATAATATGGCGGTTACAGCCGTCGTAATAATATATTGGAGCCCGTTTCAAAACCATCGTGGAATATTACGGCAGTTGGAACGACAGCTTTACAAACCGTCGTAAAATAGCGTCGCGACACATGTTTCTGCGATAGTAGGGGAACCGTCGTGACTCCGTAATCTGCTAAAATTAACTGCCGTAATTTGCTTATTTTCTTGTAGTGTTTATGCATAATTAGTCACTGGGTCCCTTAACTTTGAGCAAAGTTTCACTTTGGTCTCTGAACTAAAAAATGTTACATAATGATTATTTAACTTAAGTTCCGCTAAAACATTTGGTCCCTTCTGTTAGTTTGTGTCAAAAAACGTTAGTTTGTGTGAGTTGGCATGCCAAGTAAGCAAATTTATAATTCCACATCAGCACATGGTATATGTTATGTTACATAGTGTTCCATTTGGTTGCAGCTTCATTCTTCTTCTACCAAGTGTGCTTCAATTTTCTTCCATATTTCCAACTTCTTCCATCTTCTTCTTCAAATCAGAGTTAAATCCCTTTCTTCCACCTTCCTTCTACCATCTTCCATTTCGTCTCCAAATTAAGGAATTAGGGTTCATTGTCAAAGAATGCAAGTAATGCCTCAACTTCAAACAACCAAAGCTATGGTACATCTGGATTTATGATTCGTATAAACAAGAGAATCAAATGTTTTTTTCAAGATGAAAGTGTTCTTAGAACCGTGAATGATGTGAACAGGGTTGTAATTTCTTCAAGTGGTTGGGTGATGAGTTTGTTGATGAAAGGGATTTGAAGCTTGAAAGACAAAAGAAGAAAATTAACAAATTTAAGAATTAAGTTATCTACACTAGAGGGTGGCTCAAAATGTCCAATGTGGTTGGGATTGTAAGCCTAGGGTTGAACATTGTGTTTGTAACAATGTATTTTAATTAGTTTTGGGGTAGTTCAAAGTTATGTTTTCACATTTTCAACGTTTTGTTAAGTTTGTTTAATGAATAATGTATTGTTATGTTGGTTCAATGAATAATGTTTGTGTTATGTTTTCATATTTTCATTGAATAATGTCTCAATATTCAACCTGTTAAAAATGCAGCCCAATGACCAATATTTATGGACACAGATTGTAATATAACTTCGCATTATAAGTCAATCCAACTTTCATTAATAGATTCAAAGTTTGATACATAACAGGTTAAATAACAAAAGGTCATTATAAGGCATTACATAACATGTTCAATAACAAAATGCCATTATAAGGCATTACATAACAGGTTCAATAACAAAAAGCCATTATAAGGCATTCAGGTTCAATAAAAAAAGAGTCAGGTCATTGTTAATAGGACAAAATGTGCCTTACATAATGACATTCCAAAATGTGCATTAACAACAACAAAAGAGTCAGACCATTAAATGGCAATACAAAATCTTAGCAGGCATAATAATAATGATCAAGGTTGGCTTGAAACAGGCTTGCCACCCTTATGAGTTTTTTTTAGTTTTGGGTGGTGGCTGACTTGTAACAACAGGTGGTGGTGGTTGATTTGTACTAGCTTGTGGTAGTGGCTGACTTGTAACAACAAGTGGTGATGGTTGACTTGTAACAACTTTTTATGGTGGTTGACTTGTTGCATCTTGTACCTGACTTGAATCAACTTGTGGTGGTGCCTGACTTGTTGCTTCTTGTACCTGACTTGGAGGAGCTTTTGGTTGTGGTAGTTTACAAGTGGCCTTGCTATGACCATCCTTGTGGCAACGACTACACTCGATACCATGTCTTGCCCTCTTTATGTGTGTCTCATCCCTCACCGTCTCTCCAGCTTCCTTATTTCTTTTTTTCTTTGGCCTTCTAGGCTGCCTCTTTATTGGTGGTGGTTGAAGATCAATAACACTAGTCTTTGCCCACAAGGCTTCCCCATTAAGTGGATATATAAAATGTGTATAGAAAGCAACATATTATTCCTTCTTGTAACATTCAGGTACAAAGTCATCAATCTCTAAATGTTGATCCTTCATGCAAGACATAACATGACAACAAAGAAGTCTAGTCTGCATCCATAGTCTACATGAGCATTCTTTCTTGTAAAGGTTGACAACATATTTGTCTCCATTGAGTGAAGTATGTCTCACCTCATAGTCATATTCACCTGCACGCCTGCAAACATGTAACCATTTTAATGTTAGTCTATGTAAACAATTAGCCATTTAAAATTTATATCAACAAATCAACCATGTTACCTCATAATCCAATGATTGGTTTATGTGACTCCCTTTCCATCCTCTTCTTGATGTTAGGTAGTATGATGACATCGTATTTGGTAATCTTTTGCCTATTAGATTCCTATCTCTGTATTAGATATACTCTAATTTCTTCCAGCATTGTCACAATGGGCTTGGATCTAGCAGCTACATATACATAATTGAAGGCTGCTAACATATTGTTAACCAAAGTGTCACAACCTGAACTTGGCTGGAACCTTGATTTGCTCCAGAATCTTGGTGGAACTTTGATGAGATGTTTGAAGGCCTCTTCATTAACTCCTTTGATTTCAAGCATTATTTTCTCCCAAGTATTAACATAACTTGCACATGCAGCCCTCCACATCAATTCCTTTAATTTCAGGCCAGAGAACTTTTTCCTAAAGTTACTATACAAATGTCTGCAATATAAAGTAAGTGCAAACCAACTAGGTCATGCAAGTAATTTAGAAGATCTAAGTATGTCATATTCAACATGTAAGTAAACATAATACCTAACACAGAATCTCTGGTCAACACCAAGTAATTCATCAAGAGCTGGCAGTAAAACTTGCATCCATAAATAAGTAAGAATGATGGTGAAAATAAAACAATTGGCTAACAGTTAAATTTCAAGTTGAGAGGTTAAAAACTTTTGTTGATCACTAATGAAGGTGTAGGTTCTGCACAACCTGACTCCAAATAAATCAGGTATCAATAACTCTAGAAACCAGCTCCATGAGTCTTTAGTTTCACCCTTAACAACAACATATGCAATTTGTAGCATTTGGTCATTTGGGTCCCTCCCAATAGCAGCTAGTATTTTTCCTCCATAGCATCCCTTCAAGAAACAACCATGTAATCC